CATATTGACACATTTAACTTCAACTGGCAACGTCATATTTGCGTCGCATTTTCAATGGGCACGTCATCCGAATCAAAACTTTTTTTTGTCTTTGATTGTGAATGAAAAATATTAAAAACCATTGAATGATATTTCTCAAACTACACGAAAAAATATAATCTCAATATAGGAAACTCCTATTAGCTTTATTTGCCCCCCATTCTTATTGTATTTCATTATGTTTTCAACATATGAAACCAAAAATACCTATGAAAATAATATACTCATTTTCATACGACGTAAAGTTACACATTTATACATATTTATACACGAAGTTAATAATTTGTCGGCAATGAATGCGGAAGAGTAGTGCTGTTTGAAAATCTCACCAATAGGGAAAAATTTTATGTATTTTGGTACCTAATCGTTATCTGTATATCAGCTCAAATCATCATTTTTTATTCTTGTTGATATCTGACACGTGCATTAAGACTACAGGTACTTTAGTACCTAGATTATGAAAACAATTGACATTATCTGTCCTCTCGTCGATTCGTATTCAAAATATCAGGGGAATTATTCCTGATCTTCGTATACCTTATCGTACGTACTTAACAAAAGTGATGTTTCACATGATTGTGTATCAATCCAATCGCCAGTCAAGATTGCATACGAAATGTTGATATCGAAAGAATGCGGAGGGATATACAGGGGGTTCCTTAAAGACATGCTTATATTCAAGGGGGTGTCTTTAACTCATTTCAAGAAAGAAAGTTCCCACTAACGTATGTCCTAAAAGTCTTAACTTTTGAGATACAAGGTGATAAAGTTTCGAAAAAAAAAAACAGTTTTTTAATAATAACTGGGATAATATTGTAGACATCTTCATGAAATTTGGTACATATCTTCTATGCATCAAGGTGCATTTTTTTATGTATACAAATTTTCCTTTTCTCTACCAGTGGCGCCTTTCGGGGGATATTATACTTAAAAGTGAGCAACGCAGGAATACTTCAAAATTTTTTAAAATGTTACAAAAAGTCATTCAATTTTGTACAAAGAAGATCTTGTTGATACCCGATTGGACGCTCCGTTTTCGAGAAACAACGAAAAAACGAGATCAAACTTAAAATTTTGATGTAAATGCTAAGCTTGAGTACTCCATTCAAGACATCTATTGCTGGATAACCACAGGATGTAGAATTTTAAATGTTGACATCAGGAAAAGCTCCACAGGGTGGACAAAAAAAAATCAATGTATATGTTCAACTTTGATACCCTGTATCTCAAAAGTTAGGAGTTTTACGACATACGTTCATTTGAAGTTTCATTCTTGAAATTGGTCCAAGAATCGCCTCCTTGAATATCAGCATGTCATTTTTCCTATAATATTGCATCGAGTATTAACAATCTGTACAACATAGACCCCTCTCTCCTCAATAGATCACAAACCTCATTCAAGATTGAATTAAATATAAAAGTATTCTTCTGGACACTCAATATCCGAAAGTAACTCTTATTTCTCTTCTTCCTCTTTCCTCCATCTTCTTCTCTCTTCTTTGTTCTTTTCTGCTCTTTTTTTCCCCCTTCTACATACCAATGATATACTAGCCAACTGATTTTATTTTTATTCTTCATCCGAATGGCATTGGTGGAAGAACAGAAGTGGATGCGTTCCACATTCTGAACCTATATGCCAATTGTCTATCAAAATGTATATATGTAATATCTATATAATGAATATCCACATATGATGAACAATAAATGTATTATTATTATTATTATTATTAAGGAACACCCTGTATACTAGTAATCGGGAAAACCTCTACGTAGTTTTCGTTTTTGATTTCAGATTTTTTTTCACACCTTGATGGGCTTTAATAGAATATTATTGTACAAGTTTTATAAGATACTATTTTGTCGTACGCGTTGTTTGTGATGACTATTTGATGAAGAAGTATCCGTAAGGGATATTGACTATACATTTCACAAACTTATTCACTAGGTGCATATTTTCGGACATCAAAATGAAAAATTACCCTTTTGACGAAAACGGTTCGCGGGTTGGTTTAACGGCATTCTAACAAGAATACTTTATTCATGTAAAAGTGTTTGAAGAATTACATTCTAGTAGTAGAAATGAGATAAATCTTGAAACAAAAAACCTGGGGCTTTTTTATAGCCTCGGTTACGAGTTTCTACCTCCCTACCACGGAAGGATTTGTTAGATCAACTCACCTAAAACTACCAAATTTCGTAATTCTAGAATCAATGATAACAAAGATAATTATTGAAATGCATATGAGGACCTGCCTTCAAAGGGCTCTAGCGCACTTAAGAAGTATTTTCGGACACCTATTGATAGAGACATTTTCCAATTATTTTCATCTGCAGAATCATCTCCCGGAGCATAAGAACGTTATTTTGGGACACCCTGTATACAAGGTGGGCCATTAGTGCGTCGGAGCTGGATTGCTCGAGTTCTATGATAGCTAGAAACTTGATTCAAAAACGAATGTCAATGAGACAACAAGGTCCGTAGCTAGAATCTATTACCGCATACACAGGCGGCATCGGAAGAAATCTAGAGGGTCAGGATCACTTTTTTAAAATAATATGATCACATTTTTTGAAACATTCCTGTGACCTCCATCCACTCCTATGATATTGTTGACTATTTCGCGATCATTTCAAAGTTGTTAATTTTTTTGTCGAAATAATGTCATCTGCAGATTCATACCGGAGAAATCACTGTAATCACAGTAATAGGTTCATTCGGTTTCGAAATATTCGCTGCTTGATCGCGGAGGACAATCGATAGGAGCCCGCATGGTTGCCGATATCGGCCTCATCGTTGAAATCCTCAGGTTCGATGGCCAGTTTGTTCTGACATAGGTGAAAAAATCTAGTGAGCTGTCACTACTGGTCTGCTCCATTGCTCACTTGAGTGTATGACCACCAGAGGATGTTACCGTATCGGACGAAATGATCTTCACTTTTTTCTAGAAAATGTTCGAAATTTGTGGTTATGTAAGTTGTCAGTGTCAAGACCTGTCATGCCATCATGAGTTGTATTGTATTTTCTCCTGAAAAAATCTTTCTTTTTCAATTTTCGTTGTTCTAATATTCCTTTCGTTTATAGTTCTCAGTTATTGTGCTCCCAGTATTATAGTAGTTCATTCTGATTGATAATTTGTTACAAACTCAGTCTCAATTGTTGTACCTACCAGAACTTGTGGACTCATCTCCAATCATGAATTCCCAAGTGATATTTCTTTGCGACATAAGTGGATACATTCGATTTTGAGAGTTAAGGCTCATTACAAGTAAGATAATATCAGAGCCCTGATCAAAAGCTAATAATCGATACTACTGATTCTACCTCTCATTTAGGTGTTGAACGTTGCAAAATTGGGGTATTGTAGTGTCTGTAGCAACCATTTTGAGAAGGAATGATTATTTTACATTCTTGAGTGACTGAGTGACCGTGACACGTGACTATGTCGTGACTGAACTCAAACTCAATGAACAAACTACGCCGCCGGCCGAGAGCACCGCTAAACTCATTCACGATTTTCAAGGTTATGTAGGTTCAACAGGGAAACAATTGAAATAAGTGTTTCCTCGAGTTGACCGTATGGCGGCACTACTGTATCGGCCACAGAAACCTGTAGGTGATTTCCCTCGTTTGAGCAGACCAGATACTACAGCTCACTAGATTTTTTTCTCCATATCTAGCAGCTCACTAGATTTTTTCTCCATATTCAGCAGACAATGGTTGAGCGCAGTCCCGAACACACGAGACCTGCTTTCCTGTAAGTGCACCCATCCATGCAGCCTTTCTTGCACTCACAGGAAACACACAGGACATCAGAAAACAGCAAGAGCGAAGCTAGTATGTCCAGCAGTAGTGGCAGCAAGGGATATCCATTTTGGGGGCAGTATCCTGGGTTCAGCAGAGGATGTTGGAAATGTTTGGCCTAGGAAGATGGTATCTTTTGCTCGCGAAATCGGCCTTTTCATGACTGACCTGCGATCCCAGGAATGTGGATGCACAATATAAACACATTTTACAAAAAAAATAGGCCCGAAGAGTGGCCTAAGTGTTACAGGTCCCGGACCGCCGACACACATGACATTACATTACATACAAAAACGAAAATGCTGAATCAGCTGATATGTCTTATGTCAACCGATATAATCTGAGCGCATCATCCCCATTCCGCCGATTCGGCCATGTTGTTTTTGTTGGAATAAGTTGAGAACTAATTTCCATTCTACTCTGGGTTGTAGTTGTTCAGTTCATTCTCGAATCACACAGAACTTTGTGTCAATCCTGTTAGACAGTTTGACGTTACGCATTTGGGTGTAATAATGACTTCATTAAAGACGCAAAATAGAAAAAAATATGTTTTGGAAGTATGGCAGTTGGGGGATGAACATTATCACATCGCTTGACTCAAAATTGTCTTCCCCAAAAATAGAAATTGGCGGGTCTCGGCAAATCTAAAAAAAACGGTGTCCTAATTCCAGTTCATCTTGATGAACCTTGTATAGATTTCAATTAACTAATTCAAAGAAAAAAAATGTTTCTTTCGTAAATTTATTGAAAATATTCAAAAATATCAATTGATGCTAGAAACCCAGCAACTGAATTATTTATTAACTCTGCATTTTTTAGAAATGGTGATAAGAAATGATCACTGTATTGCAAATTTGTTGCCAGTCATTGTATAATCTGAAAATCTATATCTCAATCTTAGTTTTGGATCCTTGTGAAGATAGGAATCAAAGATAATGCCTATATTCAAACCTATAAAACTTGATTAATGTGGTATAAATTAATGGCCACATACTCAGTCATTGTATAATCTGAAAATCCAAATCTCAATCTTAGTTTTGGATCCTTGTGAAGATAGGAATCAAAGATAATGTCTATTTTCAAACCTATAACACTTGATTGATATGGTATTAATTAATGGCCACTTATCAAAGTAGGTGAAAGAAAAATGTATTATATTCGAGAAAAATTTATTATCCTTATCATTTTACATCACAACTGTTATCAACTATTTTATTATAACAATTACAAAATAAACAAAGAGAGCCACTTGGAAATAATAATCATGAAAAGTACATAACTGTATAACAACCCTGCAAACTAGTCATACATAAATCAACTTAGAGTGATGCAGCGAATCCTACTCTATTATTGCCCAAATCGAATTCCGTATAGAATTTACCAATGAAAACATCACCCAAAATCCACAAAGGACCATTTGGTGGTGGAATATCAAGTCCCATGAATCCAGAAAGGCATATAGTTTTACCAGCTTGCGAGAGCTAAACAATGAAAAAAAAAAGAGATCTAAGAATATAAGTGATAAGCCAAATGCAAAATTAATTGTCATAACGGTGACTTCTTGCTGCAATATAGCTGCCTATCTCTCCCACTCTCAGAAAAAAGGTTCAACAAAGAAAAAAAAATGCCTAACAATACTAATTGCATAAAATGAAAATCACCGAGATCTTCACACAAAAGTTGAGTTGAAATAAGAAAAAACGAAATCATAACCTAGGAGGAGAGGAATAGGGAAAATATAATAAATATTTTCCAGCAGGAAACCAATAACTTCAAATTTCATTGAATTAAAATCGATCAATTCGCCACTTTGATTTTCTCACAGAAAATAGGTTGAAATAAGAAACAAAGAATTGCTGTACACCACTGACATAAACTTCTGTCTAGACCGCTAATGTCATAAAAAAGAAGTTATACCACCCCCGAAATCCAACTGGAGAACATGAATCATGCGCATTTAGAACCTGCCATATATCTTAATCACTCTTACATACGTGTCCAAACACCAAGAAACATGATTCGATGTCATGAACGTCAGTTTGGGAGTTCCTGCGTATTGAGCAGAAACGTTTTCAGACGAGCGATTCACCCGAGACTTTCGGGTTGCTGAGATATGACATGTAGCGGTGTAAATAGTAGTTATGTCAGTGCTACATACACATTAACTTACACTTACTTGGTATAAACTATTTTATATCATGCAGCAAAAAGTTATGAAGGATTAAGAAGGGGGTGAAATCTCCCTAAAATTAGCATCAGCACCCCAGCCAAAAACATTTTCACCAAGCTATTTGATGAGGTTTCACAAGTAGATGTTGCTATCAAAATTATTTGAATCGAGGTGGCTGTAGCTTCTCTGGAGAGTAAATATGTTCCATTTTTGCTCATGAGATCAGATATTGAAACAAAAATTGAGAAATTCGTATACGAGGATGTTTGACTTTCAGCTCGAACACTAGGACTCTTAAGTCTTGAACGGAAATCTCTTCCTTCAGTTTTACGATAAAGGTTATTACTATAAATAGCTGAGAATATTATTTTATTCCTTTTCAAAAGTATTCCTCGTGATTGTGAAGAGTATTATACAGGTGAAAGAATATGATCTCTCTCAATAAGGACGAAAGAACATAGGAACAATATAAAGTGAAGACATATCAACAAATCGAAAATAGCTCAACATACCCATACTGAAAATGTTTAACATATTGCAGAGTAGAATGATATTAAAATAATAGGAACAAAAGATAACAGCTTCGAAAGAAAAATCAATGCATTGCATGATATCAATAGATAGAACTCGTTTGTCAATAAAACGGAAAGGTTTTCAAATTCTTTGCCAAAGGAAGAATTCCCAAGAACCTCCAAAAGTTAAAAATATCCTCCTATCTCATTTCCCTATCCTCCATGAAACATAATAGGAAATTCACACCCAACATATGAGTATGAAAATGGTAAATTGATGATTTTTCTACCAACTTCTGTAGTGAGAAATGTCAATAAGAACATCAACTGCCAGAAGAATCTTCCATTTGTAATATAAAAAAGGAGCAGATTCATTCTCGGAGCATCCGAAGAAGTGACAATTTGATATTTCTTCAATATACTTATATTGCTCTTATTATTTTTTTAAACAATAATTATCCAACAGATACTATTTATAAATGAATTAGTTCATGCGAGAGGTTGTATTCATGCTTAATTCGACAACAGTTCATCAATCCAGGATAGACATTGTTCTAATACCTTCATTTGGTTCATAAATATTTATGAACAAAATAAAAAAAAAGAAAAAACAGCAAAAAGTTGAATTATGAATTACTCACCCTCAATGTGTAGTCTACCCCAGTCAGAGTGAAATTTTGGCCTGCCAACATGAAGTCAATATCAGGCAAACTAGGGATCAAACCGCAATCTATCATGTATTCTCCACCAGCTAGAGGGGTTGCTCCTATCGCCTGCAAAAATTGAATATGTAAAAAATCTGAGGTTGATTTGAATTGTACATTATGATCTACATTTCAATCAAATGGAAGAAAAACCTATTCAATACTGATTTCTTATTCTACTCTATATGTGGAAATCATATTGTGAAAGAAATTGCGTTGAAATTTTCCAACTAGAAGTCATCTTCCAAATTATAGTTCAATTGTTTGGAAATTGTCGCATGCGAGTATTATTATTTAAAATAATACGTTTATAACTCGGCAACTGCGCTTTGCATTGTCTAACTATGTGGTACAAGATGCGAAGCAATGTAGCCACGAGTTTCATCTGAATCTCCTTTGAAGTGAATTAATAAGGCTTTTGACTCATACAATCAAACATATCTATATAAGAAATATTGTCCAGTCGAGAATAAAGCAACTGAGAATCTTCCCACATAGTTGGCGAGCAATAAATCATGATTTATGAATGTTTATTGCCAGACAATTTCCAGATGTAATTCGACATCTGGTCGTGACGTCAGTAGTAGTTTTGAGTAGCAAATTTCGGCCATTTGAATGAGACTGTGACTTCATTTGAGGCCTTAAAACCATCCATGTTTGAAAAATAATAAAATTGAAAATTAGTGTGAATAAGAATAAGAAATAAAGAATCAGTTCATTTGCTCATTGTGCCAACTGCCGTGTAAAACATAAAACTTTTTCTCCAAATGTCGTAAAACCAATTTTGTGTAATTTTTTTATAGAAAGAGTCCACCTTTCCTGCCTGTTGAGTGTCATAGAAAAGCCACTGTCTATGCCGCTTTGAGAAAACCATGTTTTTCGCGGCACTTAAGATGTTATAAACCCTCCTTCCAACGCTGGAACATTTACAATTATACTTCCTCAATCTTGATGCACTCGAATTTGTTTTACCCACTTTCGAGTGAAAATACCCATAACCCGTAGAATCTACAGAAGCATGGAAATTGAGACAAAGGTGAATCAACCCTGAAAATCTGATGAAATCAATGACTTTGTTCAATATCTTATGATCGCCCCCGTTTTTCACGCCACGCATATGTGTAAATCTGTACACATCATTCGACATTCGACAACATCGAATAACAGATATTGTTACAATCAAAAGAAAGCTGACAGCTTTTCATGAGGTATTGACGCTTACTTGATGTCACTGTGCCAGTATGCAACAGTGGCGTGCATACAATAGAAGCATAAAAGCATTCCCTACCCCAGAAAAATTATCGATGCATATTTTTTTACACAACTTTCTTTTGCGGATATATTTTTTTTATAAAAATAGATCTACTTTATGTCACAACTCATAATAATCCGTAAAAATTAATATAAACCACCCGCTGCGCCGCCGCTATTGGCGCTCTACTGTGTAAGAAAATAACCATCCGATTTAAAATGAAAGCAAAGCAATTGCGCTGATTAATAAATATTTATATGGAGCGAAAAAGCATTGCTTTCGACTGGCCAGCCATCGACACTCGAGCCGTGGCGACGCAGTGTTGCCAGGTGTGGCGATTTATCGCATTCACTGCTAATTTTCTGGTGAAATGCGACATTAAATTGAATTTGGCGACTGGCGACATTCTGAAATTTACAGATTTATTGGCGATATGTGATAATGCGACAATCATTGGTAACATTTGCAATCAAGTTTTGTGAATAGACAACATGTCAGGATTTACTACGGAAACGGAACGACTCAATATCGGATAATCTCCATCTTTGTTTTTTGCATTGCACATTTTTAATTTTTGCCTATCCTAACATGAGTAGCATTGCACGCCACTGGTATGCAATGACATCACGGTGGGGACGTTTGATCAATTTCAATACTTCGCGAGTTTATCATGAATGTTCTAAACCATAATAGTATCGATATACCAGTTTTATAGGTACACGTAATAAAATTTGCTTGTTTCCGGACCACCTACGTTACTCCTACTCCTATAGTCTCAATTTACCTGGGTGAGACAAAAAAACGTTACCTCATTAATATCAGCAATATCATCGGTCGGTCCAGCAATCAGACTGGTGCCAGTATCGGCGATGGCCTCACACCCTCCCTCGCAGAATGGATTGGTTCCGACCATGACAGCGTCCATTCTGAATTGCCAGTAAGCCTGACGATCGACAGGCAAGTAGGTGAAGTCGCCTTTGTAATGATCGGGATCAGAACCGCCCAGAAGAAGTTCACCGCCTGCTGATGCTGCAGGATCCCTGCATGAAAGATAACACATTCGAAAAAGTGCATTGCCTGAAATAATCCGTAGGCATTTCGTTGTTATAAAAACCAACAAAAATAGCGAGTCATGAGAATGTTGGTTCAAAGACCTGATTTCATCGGTGGAAGAATACTCTCAGAGATAACCTCTAATTCGGTGTTTACTTGCTTCAGTGTTTATGGGTGACATTGAAATACATGAAAATATTTCAAACCCTAAGAAAGCTTATTGACGTATGCTATATTGAATGGCACCAATGAACAAATATAGGAATCAAGATAAAAAAACTGGCGCAAGACACCTTTTCCCATCCAAAGGTCTACACATCATTTAAATTGTCCTGTGGCGTACTTGATTTTTTCTCCATTTTTTGTTCGGTTTTCATAAAGACATTTCTCTTTAATTTAAAGATGAAAAAGTAATCTGATAATTTGGATATATTCGTTAGACTGTAATATATTGATGGACTGAATATATGTACTCATCACAAAAACACATCAACTTTTTTTATTAAAAAAGTCAAAAAATGGATAGAAACAAAAATCTGAAAATACGTTGTAGAAAGTACATGCAGTTTATTGTTAATTAACAGTATGTTAAAATCTAATCGAGACTGAAAGAACCTCAAAAAGAACCACTGCAATGACTTGGAGACAAAAAGAAGCCACTGATAAGCAAAATATAACAGCTGCCCATTTCTACAACAAACTGAAGAAACACTTCAATATAAAAGTGCATCAAATGGTTTTTTGTTAATGATCTGTGACAAAATGCAAATTAAACTTTGTTTATAATACATAATGTTTTGGATTTATCATTAGTATTGAATTTAACAATTTCTTTATAGAATGATTTATTTCCTATCTATATATAATAGTTTTGTTTTCTCCTTCTATTTGCTCCATGCTCCAGGTCTATCAACACCCAAGTTTTGAAAACAGAGAAATTCTCGAGAAATCTTCATCATCAAAATCATTGTAACGATCATTTCTTTACCTCACATGATATATGGCCTCCTTTCATCATCTATGATCTCAACATCTTCATCATTACCCCATAAACATTATAAATCTTTAATGACATAATACAAACATTAATACTAAGGAAATACGTTGTCAGTCTACAAAATTAGCTGTTAGAGAAACTCAAAACTTTTACTTCCATTTCATAGCCAAATTTACAGATACTTTGACTGTCAGTTATAGTTTACTCGGAAAATGATACAGTTTAACTATAAGCTGAGTATTAGCTCATAGTCAACTTGAAAACTATCGATTGATGAACCGGCCCTAATAAATATTCTATTGTATATTCCAGCTTGCCATATAATTTATTAGCTATAGTATATAGTAAGTATTTTTCATAGGACTTGCACAATGGAAAAGCAACCACTATTATCTTCGGATGGGAATGCCTGAATTCCGTCCTTACATATTGTCTCCTTAATATGTATGTTCCTAATGAACTACTTATGTTGTAATTCGTCAACCTCCATTTCAGTCGAACAACTCTGGACCAAAATTCGTTTGTCTATAGAACAACAAAGCTTTGGAATTCTTTGACAAAGGTGGTATTCCCAAGAACAAGTACATAAAATGTCAATTCAAAGAAAGTATTCTTGAGTACTTTCAGTGAGAATACCAACAAGAATATGCATGCGAAAATCTTATCGCCCATATGGTATTGAAATTAGCCCCAGGTGTATACACTAGGTGTCCAACGTGCAATGATAAAAACGGTTATCGTTTCTAACAATCAATGAAGCTACTGTTTGAAGATTGTTTGCATAGATAACTGTTGAAGGTTATTTTTTATATATTTCCGTTATTGTCGAAGATAAATCCATCAAAGCTGGTATTAGTGTATTTAGAACGATAATCTGTATATTTGTATAACAATATACAAGGTAGTCAATTTGAGAAATTGAGCTGAGTTTATAGTACGACCAACCAAAGAAATCCTGGAACCAGAGGGAGAGCGTGAAGTTGAACCATGAACCATGAACGATATCATTGACATTGAACATTATTTCTATTTCTTCTAGCGAGCGCTGGAAATGCTTTGTAGATCATAAGAACCTGTTGAGGTGTGAAGTAGCCTATCGAAACAGAAAAAAAAAATCCGAGTTTTAGTGAAGCGCCCTTCACGATGGATCTGACATAATTATCTTGATGAAAGAGTATTGCTGATGGAAATATCGAGCATAGATATAGTGGACCAAAATTGTGGAACGCCAGAATTGATGGCTATAGTGCTCCAACCATGGGTAACATTTTTTTAGTTATGTGATCTATGTGGTACTTCCAGCTCAAATTTTAATCCAATATGAGACCTAAATATTTGAGATTATTAACCTTTTGAACCAGTTCTTCACCTATTTTATTTCAACGCCACCAATGCTCACATTTTTTTGTTTGAAAATAATAAATTTTGTTTCCTTCATATTGAGTTTTAGATTATTATGTAAGAGCCAGTTTTTAAATCTTTTCGTATCTTCGATTACAAGGTTATTCTATATTTGTGCCAGTATACGTCAAGACCGTGTCGTCATCAAATGTAAAATAGCCAGTTTTTAATTTCGCAGATTTTAGACTGAGCACGAGTAAAGAATAAAAGAGCGGACCCAAGACGGAACCTTCAGACACGTCATTTTTTATTTCACCTGTGCTGGTTGCATGATTGTCCATGTAAAAATACTGTCTTCGACATTTTAGGTATGATTTTATCGAGTTACATATCTGACTCCTTAACCCCATCTTCTCTTGTTTGATGGTAGTTGGTGGAGAAATCCTTGGTGCCGAACACTGTCGAATGCTTCGATATATCTAACGCCACGGCTAGAGATTCGCCATGTTCTTCTAATTAAATTAAATCTCCAGTTGATCTCCGATGGCGAAAGCCATAGTGTCTATCGTTAATGAATCCTGAGCCTTCCAGATATTTGATAAGCTCAATGTAGATGGTTTTCTCCATCACTTTGGAGATATCAATAAGAAAAAAAATGAGGAATTTGATGAACTAATAAAGTACAGGGTGTTCCATTTGAAAAATCATAAGTTCAAGTCGTATCTCCAAAACCATAACCCGACAAAAAAATGTTCTATGAGATAAGGTTTTAATTTGACCTTTTCGTTGAGAAACCTCGTAGATATAGAGGGGGTCCAAAGAGTATATCTTTTCAAGATCGCCCTGTATCTCATAAATGGAAAGAGTAATGCAAAATTTGATAAGGCCATCTTGAGTTTCACAAAAAAGTGGCAGAGGACCGCGAAAACCACAAGGTTCTATCTTCAACAACAACCGAGATATCTGGCTGTCTCACCCAAAATGAGATGCACTCTACAGGGTGGGCCAAATTGGACACTTTCAAAGGGAAAGTCCTATTCCCGTAATAGATAGAAAAAAAGAAATGATGTTTTTCAAAATCCTCAAGTTTTCATGAAATTTTTTCCAAAGCATTGTGTTTGTCATGGAAATGTATACGCATTCACTGAAATCAGTCACCACATACCCTAGTTTCAAAATATAACTTTTCCTTCAAGAAAAACAAGTAATATTCTTGAACAACATATAGGAAGATCGATTTCAGTGCCTCAGGAATATTTTTATCACAAACTAAATGCTTTGCAGTTAATTTCATGAGAACATACAATTTTTGCCAAAAAAATTATTTGTAGTCACTTTTCAAGAATGTCCATTTAGGAAGACCAACTTGTAACTCCAAAACGAAGACAGAATCGACCCTCAGGCATCGACATCGGTTTTCTTCTATCTAGAAGGGACTCAAGTGATGAAAATAGAGCAGTATGTTTTTTTTTCTCTCAAATGTGGCTTGTCACTTATTACCTTCCATTAATGAAGGGTAATAAAGTATTATTGTAGTGGCGTGTCACATGGCTTGTAATATTATTGGATTTTGTTAAAGGTGAATGAATAAGAAAAATGGAAAAAATAAACACGCCCGAAAAAATCCAAGTCGATAGAAATAAAAAAATTCATAGTGTTGTTTGAGATCAAAAGAAAAAATTCGACGAAATTTAGGGCAACCGTATATGAGATTTTGGGTGATTATTTTAAATGGAATAATGCAACAAGCCACATTTTTTCCGAGAAAGCCTGTTTTTTGTCAAGTTTGTAGTAATTTTATTAATATTCGTATTAACTATAGTCCAATAGGACATGACATATCGACCTATATAAGACTAAATCCATCAAAGTTGTTACTGGATTTTATATATTTTTTTCAACATTCAAAGTCAAATATCCCATTTTCATTGTTCTGAGGCTTGTCATCGTTTTACATTAAGCCCTTCAATTGAGAAAAAAGCAAATAGAACTGTCCTGCTGTATAATAATGGATTCTGGGAATTCTGGAGAGAATGGATTTCATTTCTTTAATTTTCTAAAGTAAATATCAACCATTCCATTATAGAAGGAATGTATGAAACGGCCTGGATGGAGAATTAATTTGAATACAAGCAAAATTTGTGAGGTACATACATTAAATCTCCCTTATTATAACAGCAGATTACAATGATAATAGATGTTAGGCCCATTTTCAAACGGATGATTTTAAGATCCGTTTGATAAGATATGCTGTTCCATTAATTTTCAAAACAGGCTATTGAAAAAATCCAATATTAACATCACACGGAATGCAAAACAGAATGATCATTGTGAAAGAGAAATTAATTGCAAAACTACATAATGAAATTGGAAATTTGAGAAGGAAACTGAGGAAATCAAGTAAATTGTAACGTGATATATCATTGAATGTCGTTTTCAATACCGACCAAATTCAAAATGTATCAGTGAAAAGTGAATGCAGCAGAAGGTGGAAAATCAAAACAATCTTCATGTTTCAAACTATATCACTCGGGTATAGTTTTACATAGAGTCCCTGTATATACCTTAGACAAGAGTCCGGACACAAAACTGACAGCCGTTGGGGTTTTTAATATTTTGTTTCATTTGGTTTGCCCACCTGACAAAGTG